AATATAATAACATAATTCACAAACAGATGCAATAATTTTATTTCTGACATGTTATTCAATAAAAACAGTTATCACAAACATTGCAGCATACCATTATATGTGAACACTTTTGAATTCACTTGAAAACTATCAACCGGCATAACATATTGGATCTTTCACTATAAGCAAATCGCAAATTAGAGAAGTACTGGTAGATACATGTAAATTTAAACTTCACATGTTAAAACGCAAGTACATTGTACACTAACATTTTCAATTTTGTTTCATTCAAACCTTCAAACTACAAATTAATGTTTCCTGCTTCGTTTTTTTGGTCTAGAGTTAGAGTCCGTTTTCTTACAATCGGGACAATACCACTTTCCCTTTGGCAGTTTTGACTTTGTCAATTTTAAACAATCCAAGTGGAACCATTTCAATTTGCAGTTCTGGTTATCACATGCCACCATTTCTCTGTCAGGGGTCTCGGGCTGCTGACAAATGCAATAAAGATGATCTGAAATGCTGTCCTCGATAGGGTTGTTCTGATGGGAGTTGGTCGCCACATCATTCAATGGTCCAGGTTGACTTTTCTGTGAGTGGGAATAAAACTTTCCGACAAGCTCTGGCATAACTGCCATTGTGTGGAAGTCCATAGCTTTCATTTTAATTCCCTGCCACAATTGTTCATTTGGCTCTACTCTCTCAATGTGCATGTCTTGTTCAGTCCACACAACAAAGTCACAAAATTCCCGTTTAGTCACATGTATCTGCGTTTGGACTTGGTAATAGTAGGGATGTGCCGGTTTAAGTCTTTTCCCGTCTGGTGTGTCTTCTAAACATGACTTTGATCCAGTGTAACTAGTCAGAGAAGAATGTCGGACACTGTAGGGACACTTTATTTCCACAACACCAACACCACAACAATCACATGACACCAGTCCATCTGGGGAGGCACCTAAAGTTGGGAATTCTGTGTTAATGGAAAATCCAGCCTTTTCCAAGGAGAAGTTCCATTGCTTCCTTGTAGGACCTAATAGCCTCTTTCTCGTGCTCACAACCCCATGTTGTTGCCGCAGATTTAAATGTTGTCTCGGCTGAATAGCAAATGGACGTGACTAGGCTCCGAGATGGTGCTGCTGGGTTACTGTGACACACTGAAAACATTTTTGATGCTGTCACTCTACCACTCCTGAATCTATGCCAGAGCTTAGAATTGCATTGTTCTTTTGTAGCACTTTCCACAGTAGCTGCCTCTTGCTCAGAAACCGCAATCTGATGCTTTTCACATTTCTTCATGATTTCACTGAAACTAGCACTTAAAAGTTCCTTGTCAAATAATCCAGACAGTATCATGGGAAAATTAGCACTTACAGGAGTTGGAATAAAGTCCTTTTGAAATGGCACTTTTACACTCAGAATGGCTGATCTTGCCGCGGTTGCACTAAGTCCTTGAAAAAACAATGACAGTTCTTCCTCAGATGGAGGGCTAGCAACTCTAAGCTCTTGCTGTGTACGTGGAGTTACTGGTGTTCCAGCAAGTTGACAATCAAGGGCTTTCTATAAAAAGTCTTGGCAGATGTGAAGTCAATATCTTTAAGAGTGCTGTAATTTACCCCTTTTACACTTGCTGGAAGCCAGTACGCTTTCTCCTGGGTGACTGTCTTTGAATTTCGCACTATGACGGTGGCCTCAATGCTGTAGAGAAGTGCTGCAACATGGGTACATGACTCTCCTAATCCCGCCATGCAGTTACAATGTGCTGCAAGGACCTTTCCATCTGTTTGGATGATAATCCACGGTGTCAGTGGTGTGTCGCTTAATCTTTGAGAATGCATCACCTGTAACACAAAAATAACAATATTACTTAAGCTTTAGAAATATCATTTATACATTTTTAACTTGAATGCTCTAGGTTGTCCAATATGGATGATTTTGTTATACTGCTACATGTATCCATTACATGTGTTGAGTATGTCCTTAATATTTAATCTGATGATTACAAGTGCTTACAAATCATCAATTATGTGAATAGAAAAATATAGATTGTCTATACCCTTATTACAATGTATGATGGCGAGTAAAATATGTACTAGATTTCTACTATAGTGTACGCTATTATATAGACATTAAAACTTTGATCTAAAAGTACTTAAAGTACTTATATTGTATATATATTTGTACACTTTAATTTCTCTTTTTTAAATGGCTTTATTAATAAATTAATTATTTAAAACATACACTTATGTACTTAGAGCTGGTAGACTAATTTATATAATAGCTTTCATGTCAACAATTTAGTCTGGAGCACAGGGGTTAGTTACAAATGTCTGAAATTTCTGATATGGGTCACAGCACACATAAACTGCTGTGACCCATATCAGTACAGCATCCGGTATTTCAGACATTTGTAACGAACCACTGTGTCTGGAGTGACAGTACACCCTCCCTGACATGTACTTACTCGTGCAGTGTGCAGGCAAAGATCGTTGATTTTATACACAGCTACATCTCGTACCCAGCCGCTGATGAATTGATTGTATGCATCCAATCCTTTGTAGCATTTCAGCTCTTCTACAGTGTAAGCACTCGTGAAGTTCACTAAATACATAAAAATGTCTGCGCACGTCACACCTGCCCAAAGATTAATGTCTTTGCTCCATTTCGTCTTGTCAAGTTGATATGGCTCTATTTTGTCAATCAACGCACATTTTTCATCGTATCTCCTTCTAGAAACAACATCCAATGACTGTCTGTAGTCAAGCAAACCTTTGCTAGCCATTTCCGCCACATGTAATACGTACACAAGAAGCCGTCGCTGAGAAAGTTAACAATGCTCAAGTATGTCTGCCTGAGAATCGACCCATCCAATATGGCTGCCGCATTTACCGCAACCCGGATGCGGTCACGTGATCGAAGCTATGTATTTTTGAGAATGGCCCATATACATAAATATTACATATGGTCCAATTTTCCTTGATTTTGATTGGCTAATACTTGATCACCTGCTCACCGATATAAAGCATATGGACCCCATGATACTATTTTTGCTTGCACGTGAGCATATGGACCTCATATTTCTAAATATATATCCGGATATTACGTTGCGTCAGCGCCACCTTGGTTTAGACACGCCTCGGACATAAACAAACATGGCCGCTGAACCTAAACGTCGGAAAATTGTGGAGCTGTCAGAATCAGACATTAAAGAATTGGTGGATCTTTCAGTGTCAACCAATACCAAAAGGTTGACACAACAATATGTTAAAATGTTCTAAGAATACTTAGCGGCGAAACACTTGGATTGCAATTTTGAGCGCTATGAGGCCGTGACATTAGACAGCACATTGGGAAAAATTAACGCCGAAATCAGTGATAAAGATGGAGAGATGTACAAGAAAACGACTTTAATGTCGTATCGCCAAGGGCTACAGAGACATTTACAGGCGATGAGGGACGAGAAGATTGGCAATGTTAAAGGGACTGATTTTTCGGAGTCGTCCAAAGTATTTGGGGGTGTTGTGAAAGAAATAAAACGACAAGGCCGGGGTGCAGTAGATCACCATTTGCCAATTTCCGACCCAGATTTAACTTTATTGTACGCATATTTGGGCACCTGGCGTTCTACCGACTCAGCTGATGTTTTGCAACATAAGGTAAGAACAAAATTAATCACCACATTATTGGGATATTTTGGCATGGGGCGAAACGTCAGGGTGGGACAATTTGTAAACATTGCTTTTACTTTTCATACGCCCGTCGAAGACGGGGACGTATTATGTTATCACGTGAGCGGGTGGGCGGGCAAACGATGTCCGCTCGATATCTCGAGTAATTATTAACGGATTAACTTCAAACTTCACAACAAGGTTAATTACCATGAAACCTCGGACAAGTTCGATAACCGCCATTATCCGACCATAATTTGTGGAGTTATGCCCCTTTATGGACTTGCCGAAACAGTGTCCGCTCGATATCTCGAGTAATTATTAACGGATTAACTTCAAACTTCATAACAAGATTCATTACCATGAAAGCTTGGACAAGTTTGATAACCGCTATTATCCGACCGTAATTACTGGAGTTATTACCCTTGGTTTCATTAATGCGATGCATGCGTTCCATGATGTTGTATTGCACTCATTGATCTACCAGTTATGTTGAATGATTTCTCTTTTAATATCAATTACTCACAAATACTTCATATATTTCAATCATACAAACAACTGCTCATTCAATGTGTGATGGGCGTATTATATACCGCTCGCTGTAACCTTGTTGTTTATTGTTTTTAATTTGGTTATAAATTATTTGTATCGAACAATTATACAGTAGGACTGTATTGTAGCTGTTACGGGTTATATTTGGCAGTTGAAGACGAGACGAAAGTGACCTAAAATGAGGAGACGAGAGATTAGCTTCATTTCAGTCTTTTAATGGAACATCGCGGGCACTCTAAATCACATTATTACAATACAAACTGTAACAAATACATATTATTGTACATGACGGGACAAATGAGTCACCAAGTGACAATTAAGTCACTAAATATTAAAATAATTCATAACCATTACTTGCAAACAAAACACAGTATTGTACAATAGCCAAAACTGGATTAGACACTGATGTGACTAAAATGTGACAAAAAATGTGACATATGTGACAAATAGTGATCACTCTGTGTGACTAATGTGACAATTTATAACAATCATTGCATAATCTGGATAATGTCACCAAAGACTAAATAATACCTTTGCTATCTACCTAACCAGCTGTCACATGTGACTACAATATAACTACCAATGTGACTAGACTGTAAAACATGTGACTAGACTTATGTGACATATGTTATTACCTAAAACCTGCGTGACGTCACATATAGCATGATATTTAACAATAATTATGAGTTAATAATAACTGACAAAACTAATATGTGACAACATGTGACTAACTTGGTGACATGTGACTATATTAGTGACATGTGACTGGGTATGTGACTCTCAAAGTCACGATATCCTGTCACAACGCGAAATAACATTTATGGCGATCATGCAATTTCGCTGGTTCACTTCACTAATATTACAAAAAAAAATATCGAACGGTCACAAAATATCTAGTTTAACAATTCAGAAATATTACGGTTCAGTTTTACAGAATAAAGTAAGTAACCGTATATTTATGCTCTCATTCTGTCAACATAACCATCCTATTTTTAACACATCATCATATCATCATCTATTGCATTCTAGTTAGTAATAATATATGTTCCAAATTATTATTCTAATTTAACACTGAATTATCTTCCATTCCACCACATATTGATAATAGTCCATAATACCATGTATAAATCAAGATTCATTTATACACAATGAGTTTTCCATGGGACAAGGGAGATAACTCATCCAAACAATCTAGCATGTACTATCGTATAACTCATAAAGTCGTAAATCAAACACATATTTACATATTTCGACATCATAGAATAATATCGGATTTATTTTCCATTTAGTATTAATGAAATAATATTAGATCTGTCTATCTCAATAGTATTTCTCACGACTCTGTTCATAATCATATACCACGTGCGATTCCATACCTCGCCAAGCCCGAGAAAGCACACACACTTTCAGATTGCAAACCAAATGTTTAATTATTCCGAACATACATAATATTATAACATATCATCGCTATATATCAACAAATTAAACATTACTACACTGTCTTACCACTCCATTCGGCAAATCAATCAACGAAATATGTCAAACTTACCTAAAATGAGGAGACGAGAGATTAGCTTCATTTCAGTCTTTTAATGGAACATCGGGGGCACTCTAAATCATTTCGGCGCTTGAGTCATTTCCCCTTTGATCGATAAACTCTCAAATACCGTCACCTGCGGGAGTTGCTTCCCTGCTGCCGATGTGATTCCAGCAAGCTTACCGTAGTCTGCCGTAATTGCAAAAAATTATGCCCCCTTCCATTTTAAAGAAAATGTGCGCGTAACACTCTCCCCCTACAAAGTTAATGTCGTCCTCGATGAAAGGATACATTCCGAATCCTACACATTTTCAATGCATTGAGAATACATCAAGAGTAAACAAGTCGTTGGAATTCTTGCGCTTAAAAAGCAACCACTGTCTGCACACGAACAGAAAATAATGAATGAAGCTGTACACACTTCCTCCAAACCTGGCAATATGGCCACTGTCCTTAATCCAACAGATTTAATCTATTATACTCCGATATCTCTATCTCGTACACTGGTGAATCGTCCGACATTCGTCTCCGGACGATATGGATCTTGTACTCCCAGTATGAATGCAATTTTCCTGGGCCTCCACGCTCTCACATGTTACGAATGAGAACTCTATCTCCTGCTCTCAGTAACGCACTACGTAGTCCTCTGTCGTACCGCTCCTTCGCACGATCAGCTGGCCTAACAGACTTTTGCCTGGCGATCTTGTGAGCTTCCTCCATCTGATCAAGCCACTTACTGACCTCCTTTCTTTCACTATCCTGTCGAGTTCCAAATAGTGCATCAACTGGTAATTTTGGTGTCCGACCAAAGAGAAGGAAGAACGGCGTGAATCCTGTACTCTCGTGTCTTGTGCAGTTGTAAGCATGGGTTACTTTATTCACATGACTTTTCCAGTCTGTCTTCTCCTCTTTATCTAATGCCCTCAACATGCTTATGTTCATCCTCTCACACTGTCCATTCCCTGCCGGATGATACGGAGTAGTTCTAGAGTGTATAATTCCATATTTCTTCTGCAACTGTTGGAACAACCGATTTTCGAATTCCCGTCCTTGGTCGTGATGAAGTCTTTCTGGGAATCCAAATCTTTGGAAGTAGTCATTGAAAAGTTTATCCGCTGCTGTGGTGGCCGATTTATTTTTCGTCGGATATGCTTGGTTTGTTTGTTTGTTTGATTTTGTTTAACGTCCTATTAACAGCTAAGGTCATTTAAGGACGGCCTCCCCTGTGTGCAAGATGCATGCGCGTAGTGTATGTGTGTGTATTTTGGGAGGCTGCGATATGTTCGTGTTTGTCTCCTTGTTATAGCGCGGAACTGATGCCGACTTTATAGTGCTATCTCACTGAAACATACTGCCGAAGACACCCAGCAGGACGCCCCACCCGGTCACATTATACTGACAACGGGCGACCAGTCGTCCCACTCCTAATTTGCTGAGTGTTAAGCAGGAGTATAAACTACCATTTTTTAAGACTTTGGTATGTCTCGGCCAGGGGACAGAACCCAAAGCCTTCCTCACAGGGGCGAACGCTCAACAAATGGCCAAAAGTGAGGCATTGTCAAGGGAGACATTAGGAAGAAGAAAGTTATTTAGAAAGAAGAGAAGAGATAAGGTCCCAAATTTAGTCGCCTCTTACGATCATGCAATTGGGGGCAGCAGGTACAATTCTTACGCCCTACCTGCAGGGTCTCTGATATGCTTGGACAAACCGTGTGAAATGACAAACCGTGTGAAATGATCCACAACAACAAGTAGATATTCGTACCCTCTTTTAGAACGCTCCAAGTGGACGTAGTCAATTGAAATCAGTTCAAATGGATATGTCGTTCTGATAGGTTGTAATGCTGCCCTCGCCTGTACATGTGGTTTTCTGTCTTTAAGACACTTACACACATTTTTCACATAATGCACAATATCCTTCCTCATTTTTGGCCAATGAAACCGATCTCTAGCCAAGGCGACAACTCTCTCACCTCCAAGATGTCCCATCTTCTCGTGAAGTTCTCTATACACTATTTTCCTGTAATCTACTGGAACACACAGTTATTTCACCTTTTCCTGAGTCTCAAGTTGACAAGAACGATACAACACATCTTCCTCCAAACTCAACCTGTTCCAGTCTTGTAT